GGGATTCGTTCAAACACATTTCCCATAAATGATTTCTGTCCACTATGGTCTCTGGAATGAATTACCAGCACTGCCAGTAATTCATCAACAGCTACATCAGTTCGGAGAGGAATTTCACTGATACCAACCATGCAATTTCAATAACCATCGGCGAGGTTACGGAGGGATACACTTACAGACAGACATGGAAGGAATGGGAAGTAAGACACACGGGATAGGGTCGAACGAATATGATGGTGATTGTGTTTGCTTGTATATTTGTGTGTGTAGGACACATTGAGCACAACAGGAAAATGGAGGCTGTGGGAATACTGGCAAGGAGGAAGTACTTCCCTCAAACACACATACATTTACCCACACACACACATTCCGACAATTGCACACACACTCTCTCCACACACATACACTCCCTGGCCCCCTGCAGACTGTGTGGGGGGTGGTCAGTAGGGCTGATTTTGGCAGCGAGAGTCTGAAGGAGTCATACAGCACTGAGAAGTACATTATCTAGGGTTAAAAAAAAAAAACACACTAGACTTTGGGAAAAATATTGGACAGCAAAATATTGGATGGCAAAACCACAATGAAACCCTAAAGCAAACATACTGAAAAGAATAAGACGTCCAAGGTTGTGCTTGTCCGTTTTAAGGTAAAGGTACTGAACTGAGGCACTGAGCTGTATTGAAATGGGAGAGTTGTTGATTTATGAAGGTGATTCACATGAAAGAAATTGTTGAATTGTATGTAGAGTTTGTTCAGATCAGAATCACATTTCGTTCGATTTGAAAGTGTTTCCTCTTTCACGATATGTTGCGTCATAATACGCACCCTTCCCAGTGCAATCAATTACCCATAATGCCTCACAATGTGTTCATGCTGTTTGTATTTGTGAACACTGATGGTAAAATAGATAAGTGTCAACCTGGGGGTCTCGAGCTTCAGAAACAAACACAAATCACCACGCATCCTATTCAGAGAGCCATGTCTTCATCTGTCTCTAATATAGCTTACTCACAAAAGATAGAAAGATTAAATGTCATATTTTAAACCAGGGTTATTATAGTTAACTCAAACACAAGCTATTCAAATAAAGATGAATTAAAACAATATAATATTTGATGAAAAACTTAGAAAAATAGAAATAAATAAGCTTAGGTTGAAGAACTAACATTTCTAAAACCAAAACTTTGTTGTGGCTTTGTCAGTTTTATTTATTCATTCATTCATTTTCCATCTCTTAGCTTTGACAGCTGTAACCTAATTGCTGCACTAATTAATGTTTTTTTTTTCTATTTATTTTATTATCATTAGTATTTTTAATGCTCCCTCGGTCCTGTATGTTTCAGTGACCATAGTCTACCTCTCTTTCTTTCTCACAGTCTGGTCCAGTGTAGCGGGATTATGCAAATATTTCCACATAGTGGGGTAGATATGTGGGGGCGTGTTAGAATGAGCCGTTTTAGGGGGGCGTGGCAGAGTCTTAACTTTGATAAAGAATATCTCTTTGGTTTTGAGACTTTAGTCTTTGCAACTTCAGGGATCTTATCTATGCACAATCAGCTTGTAACACTCCAAAGAGAAAGGAAAACTTGAAATCGCATCATATGACCCCTTTAACTCAAACACAAGCTATTCAAATAAAGATGAATTAAAACAATATAATATTTGATGAAAAACTTAGAAAAATATAAATAAATAAGCTTAAGTTGAAGAACTAAAATTTCTAAAACCAAAACTTTGTTGTGGCTTTGTCAGTTTTATTTATTCATTCATTCATTTTCCATCTCTTAGCTTTGACAGCTGTAACCTAATTGCTGCACTAATTAATGTTTTTTTTTTCTATTTATTTTATTATCATTAGTATTTTTAATGCTCCCTCGGTCCTGTATGTTTCAGTGACCATAGTCTACCTCTCTTTCTTTCTCACAGTCTGGTCCAGTGTACTTGACTGAAGATTTCGGGGCCCTTCAGCTGAAACAATATAAATGTTTGTTTAGGTCAGTGTTGTGTGCGTGCCTATGTTAGCTGACAAGGTTAATTTCATGCCAGCTATTCAGTCATCCTTTATAGGTCCGAGGCAGTCAAATCCACACATAGTAAGTTTACTTGCACAGTTACAATCTAGTAAAAACAGGGTTTTTGTGTATTCGAGCTACAGCTTTCATCTGTCTGTCCAAGTATACATAACACAATACGTAATCAAATACTTGGATGATTAAATACACATCGAATGTCACTTTTGTCTCTTGGAGCAAGCACACAATGTAAATTGTAGTCTGATTAATTTGTATACATACTGAACGAAGCCAAGCTACAATCACATTATAGATCTGTTATCGACTGTGCAAAAATCAGACAATGAGATTTTACAAAAGATTAATCATTGTTTCATTCTGACTTAAACTTTTAAAGTGCATGTAAAACAAAGGTTCCAAATCTGGGTTTTCGCTGTGATACTATAGAAGAACCATTTTTGGTTCCCCAACGAACTTTTCAATGAACAGTTCTTGAAAGAACCAATTTTCTTTGTGTTAAGAACATTTTAAGGTTACACTTTATTTCGATAGTCCACTTTAGACATTCTATTAACTATAAGTAACTTTGTAACTACATGTCAACTACATGTCAACTAATTATCATTAATCTGGAACTACATGTCTACTAACTCTCAGAGTAGACTGTTAGGGTAGGTTTAGGGTTAGTAGAATAAGTTGACAAAGAAAGAGTTAGAAGATATTAAGCAGACAGTCTACTAATACTCTACTAACTGCTAGTTGACATGTAGTTGCAAAGTTACTTACTGTTAATAGAATGTCTAAAGTGGACTATCGAAATAAAGTGTTACCCGTTTTAATAATCTAAAGGACCTTTTCCACTGTAAAGAACCTTTGTGCAATTCAAAGGTTCCATGGATGTTCTTCATGAAACCATGGATTCCAATAAAGAGCCTGCGTTACTGTCTTTGTCTGTAAAGAGCACAGATACTGATTAAGACAGATTAGACTCTCCTTCAAGGTCTAGTTCCTCCATTTTAATTATATTTTCTTAAAACATCTATGGTATCCTCAGGTATACACACCTTAGCTAGGCTGTTAAGGCATTTTCTTCTTTATAAGAGTCATGCATATGGGTTGAAGGCAGGTGTTAGAGCAGTCAGGCATACATTTGCCCTGGGCTTCACTTCCACTGGCTTTTTTAACAACCTGGCTAGCAGTTCCCATACACGGTGACTGCCAACCTCTCTAAAGCTATTTTAGTATATATCTCAATCTTAAAAAGTTTGTAATAATATATCAAATAATAATTTCAAACAATTACCTCAAGTTGATTGACACCACTTCAGTGAATTAACACTAAGACAAGCAGGCAAATTTATTTTTATAAGCCATCATGCTAGCTTCTGCAGAAGCTCAGTAATCCAAGGCAATAATTACATTTATTCTCCACACTTTTTCATTTCTCTCTTCATATCACAGAGCTTAGCAAACGCAAGCCCTTGGAAATTAATTTTAAGCGCTGAAAAAGACCAAGCCAAAGTCAACAGTCCAATCATCTCTCTTGATGCAGTTTGACTTACTTAAAATTAAAATGTCAACGCCTGCACCAACAGCAGATAAAGTCCTGTCAATCCAGCCACCTTTCAGAAATACAAGAAAAACATTTCTGTCAGATTGTGTGATGGATATCCGCTTCGTCTGCTGAAACCACTAAACATCCATGTAAAACGTGTGTTTTCTTTTCAAATTGCAATGGCACCGAAGCAGCTAAACAGATGGCAAATGCAGTTTGACAATTTATACAGCCTTTGTCCACAGTTCACAGTAATTCTTTACCTGTAAGCAACCAATTCCTAATTACACTCAACTTCCTGTTCACTTTAGCTAAGCTAACCAAATACTGTAGTTAAAATGGAAGGGATGTTTTTAACAGCTTTGAGATACAGTAGTGCAGTGAGAGGGGGTGGAAAAGGAGAGAAAGCTAGAGAGAGTCCTCCACCTCCTCTCACACCTCCACAAAAGCACAGGACCGACACAAGGTGGGAGAGCAGGTTGCCATGGCAACTGACAACTGGCCTCTAAGGAGAGTCACACACATCCCCCAGACTTCCTCAATCAGCTGTACACACACACACACACATATGTTAGGGAGGGCTAGTGCTTGCTCTGGATGGGCATTTTGGTTGCTCATTAACACAGGGTGTGTGTGTGTGTGTGTGTGTGTGTGTGTGTGTAAAAATATATTATAAATATACTTTGAAACATTTATAAACATACTGTATATAAAATATTTTTTTAAAAAATTGTCTTTTTTGTTGTGTATTCTGAAACATATTTTTTATAAATGATCTATTTTCAGTGAACAGTTCTTAAAATAACAATTTTTCATAGTGTGAAGAACATTTTAATAATCAAAAGAACCTTTTGTCCACAATAAAGAACCTTCTGGGTAATAGCAAGGTTCTGTGGATGTTAAAAGTTCTTCATTAAACCATAGATGGAGAATCTTTATTTTTAAGAGGAGACATAAAAATATACACAAATAAGACAACAGTTGACATACAATAAGAGAGCTATAAAACTTTTTTTTTTTAGTTAAAATAAACAAACTCTACTGACATATAAACACCCACAACATTTTCATAGTCTGGCACCTTCTCTCTCATATGCTCATACAGTACCTACACACACACACACACACACACAAACACACACACACACATTCCTTGTCCTCTCGCCTGGCAGCCCGAGGGTCCACCCCCTCTCTTCATTCAGCCTGGTCATGTGACCCGAGCTCTGTGAGTAGAACAACACTGTGTGAGCCATCCATTCATTTCCTCCTGAGAAACACACGGCGGCGGAGGAGAGACAGAGAGAGAGAAGGGGGTCACATCAGAAAGTGCGACAGAGGAAAACAAGACAGAAAAGAGGGAGGCAGAGGGACGCTGTAAGGATAGTGGTTCTCGCTGTCAATTGCTGAGGTTAATAAACAAGGTCAGTAATGTCTAATGTTTTTTTTTTTATCACTACTTAGACTGCTAGTTTGTTAAACTATGGACCTGTCAGCTGTCATTTAAAAGCCAGTTAAAATTGTAAATAAGAGCTCCTTAAGTCTTTATTTTATGAATAAAAATAAATAAATAACTAAAATAAATTATGACTATTTAGAGTTTCAGTGTTAACCAATTAGTACATTTAATAAGTAAAATTTAAAAGCTCAAATTGAATAGATTAAGAGTTCTTATTAGTGTGACAGAAATATTAGATTGTTTGGTAGTTCTTTATAACTTTTATTGCTGTTGACTTATTTGTATTATTTATTTTACTCAAGTATATTATTGATGAATTTATACAGTGTTTACAGTATTGCAGTCTTTGCTGCATGTTCTCTTCCTATTTGTTTCATGTCATATAAGGGCTGATTTCATTTATGAATGTTACATAAATGCTATATAATGGGTTTGTTTAAAGACTCCAGGATTGCATTTACTTCCCTTTTCTTGCTCTCTCTCTGTCTGTTTGTTTTCTACTTTTGTAAGAACTGCTTCAAAATGTGTTGATACAACAATACATGATAAACGTAAATACAAGAATTGCACAGAAGAACAGTAGCTTTGTTGTAGACCAGTAAGGAACTAGAGCTTGGTTGCATCTGTTGGTCTGATTTGGCATGGATGATTTTCCCTCTCAAGTATGTGACATGGTATTCCTAGCCAAGTCAATCAGACCTTCAAAGCTCTGAAAAATAATTAGACATCATTCAAAGAAACCACAGTACTATTAAAGTTAAATACTACACCTCCACAAAAGCACAGGACCGACACAAGGTGGGAGAGCAGGTTGCCATGGCAACTGACAACTGGCCTCTAAGGAGAGTCACACACATCCCCCAGACTTCCTCAATCAGCTGTACACACACACACACACATATGTTAGGGAGGGCTAGTGCTTGCTCTGGATGGGCATTTTGGTTGCTCATTAACACAGGGTGAAAACAGTTTATTTCTGGATTGTTTAAAACATTAATTATCACATGTATTTTGTCTTATTTAACCTTATATCTAATTTATTCAGTATATTTAGCTGTATATTTGTAGTCTGTGTAGTGTAGTCTCCTTATACATCAGAAGTCACACACTCTGTATCCACTTGGGAATGGTGACCACGATTTCTGTGGGCAGATCATTGACATGCTGGTGCATTGTTACCTCTGGCCCAGTGCTGGTTTACTGTGGTGGATCATTTTTGCCATGTAAGCAGCAGAGCTTGAGGACCAAAATATAATGCTCCTAGCTAGACAACATGGTGTGTTCACTACCATCCTGGCATTTCTTCATCTTTAAGATGCTTTTAGATCTCTGATAATTCTCCTGAGCTATGAAAGAGCAACCTCTGAGCAATAAAAATCAATCAGTGATCGTTTATTTACTTGCGTTCATCCCCAGAGGCACGTTTTATTGCTCAGAGGTTTGTATTTCATTGCTGAGGAGACTTCATGGAGATCTTCAGTTCATGTCATTTAAGTATCAACTTTGTCTCAGGTGTTTCTCCTATAAGTACTTTTATTATTTTTAGAAACCATTTTGCCCATACAGCAAAAAATACAGGCCTTAAATATATTTCATATTGTCTGGCCAAAATATATTTTAAATATATGTTGTAAACAGTGAAGCTCATCCTCTCAAGTATGTGACATGGTATTCCTAGCCAAGTCAATCAGACCTTCAAAGCTCTGAAAAATAATTAGACATCATTCAAAGAAACCACAGTACTATTAAAGTTAAATACTATTTAAGTAGCTATAAATATACAGCATCCTCTGCACCGCAGAACAGAAACCGCACCTGAGAGTTCCTCCAGAGTATTGATCAGTGTCTGGTGTCTGTCGCGTGCGTCTGCACCGGATGAGCTTTGTGCTGCAGTTGCATGGTGAGGAAGTTTGGGGGTCACTGGGTCTCGTGTTTTTGGAAGCATTTCTTCACCTGAAATGTCAATAAAATAAGCAAACTTTCCTCTCGCTGTGGCGCTTGAATGACCCAGTGAGGCAGCTGTAGCTCTGCAAGGTTCACCTCTGGGTGGTTGTTGTTGTAGATGGTCTTTAGGAACACAAAGTGGGCGAGAAAGAGAGCTGCTGTTGAAGGGTGAATGTGTGGGCTTCATCAAACAAGATCTGAATCAATAGTTTGAGGGGGTGTGAATCAGGTGTGGAATGAATTTAGTGTTGCAAGTTTTTAGAATCCCTGTAATGGACTGGCAATCCATCCAGGGTGTTTCCCTGCCTACGGTCCAAGATGTTAGGCTCCAGCATCCCGCAACCCATAAATCGATTGATGGAAGTTTAAAAATGTTTTTTCGGTGGTTGGTATCCATGTAAAAATTGTTGTGGATTTGTCAACACTTGTTATGTTTATTCAGATATGACGTGATTAGTAATAAGTTTGTTATGACTAAAATTTCAGTAGTCAATACAATTGTGAAGTTTCATGATTTTGACATTTGGTTTCAATTTCGAAAGCACAGCAAACCTACTGTGAAACTGAACCTTTATTTAAAAAATAAAATAATAATAAACTTTAAATGAATAATAAACAAAGTGTATTGTAAACAATGTTTTGCAGTGGTTTTTAGTTTTTCTTTTAAGAAATAAACATAACTAAACTTTAATTTAAATAAATAAATAGTGTACTGTAAACATAGTTTTGACGTTTTTGAAGTAGTATTATTTGTAAATAGTAATAAAGAACAATGAAATAAACCGAACTGGCCTTTGATAAGCAAACAAACAAACATACATACATACATACATAATGTAAACATATTTGTTGAAATTTTGTAATAAAGTAAAAAAAAAAAAGTGTAACGTAAACAAATTTTTGTTTCAAATTATGTATTATTTATTTACTATGTAAATAGTAATAAAGAGCAATGAAATAAACTGAACTGACCTTTAGTTAAAAACTAATAAATAATTAAATAGTGTAATGTAAATAATAAATAATTAAATAGTGTAATGTAAACATAGTTTTGACATTTTTGAAGTATGTATTATTTATTTTCTATGCAAATAGTAATAAATAATGAAATAAATTGAACTGACCTTTAATGAACAGACAAACAAACAAATAAATTAACACATACACAGTATAATGTAAACATAGTTTCATTTGTTTTCAAAGTGTTTATTATTTATGCACATGTAAATAGCAGTAAATTATGCTTGTCAATATTGTTGTTGATTAAGAAAAAAAAATCAACAGCGGTCACTGGGGTAGTACTCTTTCGAAAGGTACATCTTAGTACCTTATTTACCCCTAAAGATTGCATATTAGTACAATAAAGGTATATCATTATTAAAAGGAACATAGTAGTACCTTCTGAAAGGGTATTGCCCCCGTGACCTTTTTTTTTTTTTTTTGGATAGTGCATAATATACAGTGAAAGGTCAGTGGAAGTACATTAGGACCCTGCAAGGTGCGTGAATATGACATTTTAAATCATATTCCAGGCTTGTATCACCTTTTAACAGTCACTATCTGTGTATACATTTATAACTCAAGCCAAATAAGGCAAGCTGTTTAACCAAGATGTACATTTGTTAATTCACACGTGCAGCTGCATTCACAGAGATAACACTCAAATTGGTATCGAACTGAGTACTCAGTGATACCAATACTACAGAAATACTGGTATTGTTAAATGTTTACTTTTAGATGGTTATCCCTAATCAGTACTGTATATATTAAAGGCTTGTCTAGTCTTGGAAGCCAAAACTGTTAATGGAAATTTAACTAGAAGTACTCAAAGATAAGCTCAATCTTTTGCTTTCAAACTGATCTTCTTGGCATAGAAACCCAGATGCTTGCACGCAGCCATGCACTTACACACACCTACACAAATGTGCATGCAGAACAGAAATCAGAGGAACTAAATCTCCTTTATGAGTCACCAACCTACAAAGAGTGAAGTGGCAGGGAGGTTCCTGTACAGTACGGGAAACAGCAGATCTCCCTAGTGACCGCCTGGCCCATTAAACTGAGCTCTGCAAAAGGGCTACAACCAGAGCCTGTATAGCGGATGCACTTCCTGTGAACACTTTGACTGAACTTTGACCTCTGACCCCAGGGCCTCTCCTGGTGGGGCCTGACCTCCAAACGCAAGAGGAAGAGGGAGAGAGTTTCATGTGGGATCTGTTCCTGGTTAGGGATCTGTCAAAGCCAGACAGTTGTCTTCAGCCCCACTGCTGCTGTCAGGGCGAGTTACTTTGGAAGAGCTAAAAGCTGTACTTTTTCTCGACCTCTTTATGTCTTGCTCTCTCTCTCTCTTCACTTCTTTCTGTCTCTTCTTTGGTTTTCACCTGCAGTTGCTCGTTCTTGTTCACTTTCTCCACTTTTCCCCAGTCTTTAGTTGCAGCTGTGAGTCTTCCAGCCTCAACGAGGGCAGAGAAGGAAAAACAATTCTTACCCAGCCCTGTGTGAGCATGCACTGCTGGAAAACAAACACAGCTGCCTTGCTCATTACGAGCAGGGGCATCATAACACTCAGGGAAGAAGGCTAATATCGTTCAAGGGGTAAAAACGCATGTCTTTTGAGTTTGTGAAAAGAAAAATGAGTGCTTGGTAGTCATTATCTGTTTTGGAAGTTTTGGAAGGGCTGCGTAATCTCTAGCGATCACATCCTTTCCTGTCCTCCTTTCCTTCGGCTTCCCTTCTCTCTTTGCTTCTTTTCTGTAAGTTTACTCTTTGTATGATATTCGGTCTCTGAGTGGTTAGCGGTTATGCTAGTTAGCATGCTTCGTTACTGGCATTCAAGCTGTGCTTTAGGGGCTGAATCTTTTCTGGCACTGCTCTAGAAGAGGCTCAGGCTTTCCCACAATGCTTAGGACAGCTGGGGAGGGCTATCGCTGCCCCCAGAGTCTGCACAGCCTAATGAGAATGCGGGCAGATCTCTTCCAGCTGTGAAACAGGCAAGACTTTCAAACACCTTGATGGGTGGTT